TGTTGCTGAGGCTTGGTGACCTTTCCGCTGTCTGCCGTGGGCGACCCAACCTTTTCCGCGCAGACGCCAAATTTGTTTCAAAGATTGGCGATTGCGATCCCCAACCCTCCTCATTTTCATCAAAATGTCTTTTGAATTTGATATTATTGATTTTGTTTGTTCGTCGGCTGTTTATCGTTGGACTTAATATTTTGCTTTATCTCTGTATTCGGTATCTCTTTTTGCTTTTTATTCCTTTGTGTCCAACGTAAAGAGGTGTTCTCATTTTTCACTCTTTGAGTCTGGTCTTTCTTCCAGATACATGTATTTCATAAACATTACCTTCTTTCTATTCCTTCCTTTGTTTACAGTGATTCTATGTCAGATTATATTCCTTAGAATACAAACAGAACCAACCGTATTTCAAAAAGACCGTTTTAAAAATGTATTCGATGTAACCATTAGCTTCGAACCAATTAATTATTCTAGCCTGTAGCACGTCCATTCGTACTTTATTTATTCATATTCAAAGATATCCATTTGCAAAGAGATTTCTGAATAGGAAGAAAAAGTAATAAATTCAACATCATTTATTAAAGAATGGTTTACATACATGAATAAGATTTTATATTAACTGCAGGAAATTCAGCGCTATTTTCTTGGTTTCCGTATTCATTATTTTAAATATCACAAAGGCAACTTAGGTCATCCACAAAGGTAATGATATCACATGATGTAACTATAAAACGTTTTTTAAAAACTTGTATAACTTAACACTCTATAACAATTAGCCGAAGTGCAGTGTCCGTTTTCCGATTCGAGAAGTGTATCTTGCTCAAGGACCCACATCGGCTGTCAGTTAATATTTAAGGCTGTTGCTGTTTGAAAATGCATCACACTCTATATAAACCTGGGTCCACCAACAACTCGACACGATGACGGAAATCAATAGCGCAGGAGTCACAACAAACTTCACCGGACCCTCCCACCTCCTCTTCTTCACGTTTCAAATGGACGTGACAAGCGCTTATGGAAAAAAGTTAATTGAAAAAGGGAATCGTGCATCATCGTCATATTATGTGAATTGAAACATCTGTGAAGTAAACATTATTAAGAAAAGTAGTAAGGTGTGATAGAAAGAAAATGTGAGAAATAATATTGACACTTGCTCGAGATCTAGCTCCGGCAGTCAAGAAACGTGGTTTATTTTAGTGGTGTGCAGTGGTTTAGCATTTATTGATTGAAGTGCGACTGAATGGACCCGTTTCATTCAATTTCCCATTCTATCCTCATGAGAACGGGAATAATGGAGTAGCCGATCCGAGTTCCAAAAATAGGTCTGCCTCGAAAAGAAAAAAAAAATATTTTCTTGTTGTTAAACGATCTCTGTGTAAAGACAAAAATGAATAATCTTGTTTTTCTATTTGTGTATGGGTTAAACTCACCACCATAACAAACACATTTTATTAAGGAGAAAGATAAAAGATAAAGGAGAAGGTTACATCGATAAATGAAGAAAGCTCGACTACAACAGGAGCAATATATCCTGTGTGTCATTCATGGGATGGCCATCTCCTCCTCTCGATTTGAAAAAGAGCCCCACTTAGCCACATAGTGGTAATATGGTTCGATTCATTGTGATTCATTTGTAATTAACATGAAATAAAATGACGGTTGACTAAAACTTAAAAACTTCTTTTTAGTCTGCATGATGCATGGCAAAACGTGAACAGCTCAGAACATGTACCCAAGAAGACATCGGCCACTGAGCGAGCAAGAACGATACCTACCTGCTGTGAAAGATCCTGTGTTACGTTAGGGGACCTTATAGGCAGTACTCATTGGTAGTATCGGAAGGGTTGGAATCTGTTCAGTCGATCGAATCGAATCAGTGCTAGCCAGATTTTCTTCCATGGAGGGGCAAAAGTTACCATCATAGCACAATCCGACCGAATTCGAAATAATTCGATGGCGACCTTCAAAGACTAACATGCTTGTTTTCAAGCGAGTCGAAGCCAACAGAAATCGACCTGATCCAAATCTAACCGAACGCAAACCAACTCAACCCAACCGTATCCAACCGATCCTGTCAAATACGTTCTCAGTTTTGGAGGGGTAGCAAGTTGTAATCAAACTGTGGGGTTTTTTTTATTCGGAACAGAATCAAAGACTTGACTCTTGTTGGGCATTTTGCAGCTGTGGCACAACAGAGTGGAGCTGTCGTTAATGGACATTTGAAACTTCGGCTTGTGAAGAGATTCCCCAGAGTACAATTCATAATGCAGATTATTTGTATGGCGCTCATTCCTGTACTGTATAGCTGTGGGCCCTTTACCATACCTTCATAACAACTCGAAATAATGCAAGTCAGCGAAAAGAGGGAAAGAATCATCTCGAAAAGTTTATCATATGCTACATTACAGAACTGCTATATCTTTGATTATTGAAATGGTTTTGACCACTAGATTTTTCAGATCGTAAGCAACAGGTACAGTTATGATGTCCTTCTCAACCAGATGAAAATTTCTGGTCCCAAGAATCTGTAAAAATGATTGAGTGTAGCTAACAATTTTTAATCTTTTTTTTAAAGATTCAATAATACGTACCTGTTGAAATAATAGGAAATTAGAAATATAACTTCAGAACAAAAAATCATATTAAGAAAAAAGTATTTGCTGAGCTTCATTCAAAGACAAGGCACACGCCTCGTAAAACCCCAGAAAAATTAGGTTATTTTCTAAGATATAATGCACGTGTAGAGAGCTATTTGATATTCTGGTAAATTTTTCACCTTTATTTATAATTCAAGAGTTCTTTTTTCGTAAACGCCTTATCTCTGACAAGCCCTCCTAGACGAAGCGTCCACTTTTTAATTACCGATAATTTTATTTATCTCATTGTACTTCTCTTTCTTTCTCTCTCTCTCTCTCTCTCTCTCTCTC